GGGATGAAGAATACAGCAGAGGGAATACAGTTGATAAATATCCGTAATAATGTGTGTGGTGACAGATGGGGACTGCTCTAACAATGATGAGCACTGAGTAATGTATAGAATGATTGAATCACTAGATTGTACACCTGAAACTAATATAATGTTGTATGTCAACTATACTTCCATAATAAAATAAAAATAAATAATCTATCTTAAAAAAAAAAGACAGAACTGCAGCAGTTTTTATGCCATTCCAGTATGGCTCTTGCCTCATTTTCATTTCTGAGCAATCACACAGGTACTGGGGCAAGTGCATACCTAGGGTCCTGAAAGGGTGGTTGAGTTATTATAATTGGAATTCCAGCTGTATACCTGAAGACTTTGACTGGCCTTCTCGGCTTCCTGGCTGACACTGCCCCCAGTAGGTTCCATTCCCTCCCAGCTTCCTGCAGGAGAAGCTCTTCTTAGGACCTCTCCTTCTCCCATTTTGTTCCCTCCTCTGTCTGTTGCTGCCTAGCTTCTTCTTGCCATCATTCACCTGAAACTCCCCTCAACAAAGTCTCCTGTGAGCGCTAAGCTGTCAAACTAAAAGAAAAAGTTAAGATTCCCATCTTCATGGACTTTGCTCTGAAATCTGACAATTCAGACCACACTGTCTTTTTGAAGTTCTTTGGTTTTTTTTCCCTCCACCCTCTCTGACTGCTCCCTTTCCTGACTTCCACCATGGCCATCTGCCTCTTTCTCTTCTCCAAGTGCTCTTATGATCTAAAAGATTCCAACTGCATCTCTCCTGCTACCAGTATTTGCTCATTTACCCTCATGGTTCCTAAAATGGGACCTGCAGCCCAATAATGCTCCTGAGACCCAGACTTCTACATCCAATCACCTGTTTTATGTATCAAGTCCATCACCCTTTCTTCAACACATTCCCTAAGCTTCTCATCTTCCTCCCCCATTATCTTGGTGAAACGCATCACCCAAGCCAGAAGCCTGGGATTATTCCACAACACCTTCTTCCTGTCCTCTCTGCCACCCTAATCCCAACAGTCCTACACCAATTATACTTTGCTAATCTCTTCCTATTTTCTCTTCCTCTCCGTTTCCACTACTATTTTATTATTTCTCTTCTGTATTAATGTGGGAGCATCACCTCTGGCCTCCCTGACTTTATCCCCTGGAAATCTTTCACCTTACTATAGATCTTTGAGATACAAATTTGATTATGAAAATTCCCTGCTTAAAATCCTTTAATTGGCTCACATGACTTACAGGACGAAGTTCAATCTCTTTTAAGTTGGGAGGAAGTAAACACTGAAAAGCAAAAATAAGCCAGTGCAAAGTAACTTCTTATTTAGACAAAGATTTTTTGTGATATGCCCTCATCTCCCATCTATTACTACCTACCCCTGCTACCCTTTCAGCCTTATTCTACCTACGCACTCCTATATATTTTTCCATATAGAACTTTACCTCTCTGTCTTTTTACATTCTGCTCCCTCTTCCTACAAGCCTTTACCTCTCTTACATCCTTATTCACCCGAGTAATGCCCATTCAGCCTTCAACACATAGCTCAAATACTTTAGCTTCTTCGGGAAACTTTTCTTCATGACCTCTTTTCCCTCATTCAGGCTCCCGTGTGTCATAAATCTTGTTAAACTCAATCTTTATCTCCATCATGCTGCCAAGTTTCTTAGAGTGTTTGACTTGCAGTGGAAACTCAAGCACTGTTTGATGAGTGGATAAATGAATGAATACATGAGTGCATATTAGACCAAATAACAAAAAGGAAAGTGTATTACGTAAGAGTGTTGTACAATATCTTGTGAGATACAGTGTCATACTTCTGGTTTGGGAGCAGATCCGCGGTGTGATTGAAAGAGTCACTTTGCCTCTCTAGACCTCAGTTTCCTTACCTGCAAAATAAGGAGATCGCCTTAAGACACAATGAAGGTCATCTGGCTCTAATAGTCGGTGATCCCCCAGACTCTCATGTCACAGAAGAGCGCAGCTAGTCGTGAGCTCAGCTGTAATTTACAGAATCAGTGCATGGTCTATATGCCTTCATCAGGAGTGTCCCCATATGGCCAGCACTGGGGGGCACCTAAGTTCCTGAAGCTTCAAGGTCAAAGTGTCTTCCAGGGAAGGAGGTGCACATTCTGGTGGGGAAACTTACCATTTCCCATCGTGATTTTTTATTAAATATTCCTATTATTGAAACACGTTTACTTTTAAAGAGGGTAAAGTGATGTTCGGTCTACCGGACCGCGATGGTACCTCTGGGTGCGAGGGTGTGCATGTGGCATTAAAGCGGGCGTGCCTCATCTACCTGACTGTGCCGTTTCCTTTTCTCATAGATGGAAGTCCTTACACCTGGTGGGTCGGCAAGGCCAACGAGAAGCATTACTACTGGGGCGGCTCCGGGCCCGGGATCCAGAAGTGTGCGTGCGGCATAGAGCGAAACTGCACAGACCCAAAGTACTACTGTAACTGCGATGCGGATTACAAGCAGTGGTGAGTGCATGCTCCCCTCCCCACGGGCCTTCAGGTCAGAGCGATTCAGTAGAAGAGACCATTTGAAAATTGCTGAAATAATAGGACAATAGGGTAGCAGTGTCTGGGAAGTAACCCAGGTGACAAATGTCAGGAACACACCAAAAAACATAAAAGCAGAAAGAGGTCAGCATTACAGCGGGTGCGTTCAGAAATAAACAGGCACAAAATTGATGCGTTCCCATTTTATTCAGAGAGAAGAATAATGAGCCATGTAGAAGATGGTGCTTTACATTATGAAACGTGCTTAGTAACAACAGAGGGAATGGCCGTGGGCAGGGAGCCCATGGGCAGGCGTGTGAGAGAGTCCCCGGTAAATGGTCTCCTTCCACCTCCTGCAATGTTTGCTTTGAGAAGCTGCCTGAGAGAAAAAGAGGAGGGGGAAGGGAAAGGAGAACCTCATTCTTTGCTCTATCTTGAGCAACAGTGTTTGCCCATCTACTGTTTCTTCGCGCCTTGAACTGTTTATAACTCTGATACAGATCAAGTTCAGGAAAGATCCATCTTGGGTTTCTTCCGTCCCTCTCCTGGCTTTTGTTCTGCTTCACAGTGAATGGCTGGGTCTGCATCTGTAACAGATAAAGATAAAACCAGCTGTCATTCCGTGTGCAAAACAGAGGCCCCGGGACTTTAGGTGAAAGTCTGTAAACCCAAGTACGTCTTTCCCTAGAAATACACATGACACACCTGCTTCTCACAATTTCAGAAGCAGGGAGGACCCTCTGTGCTCCTCTCCTGCCCCCGGCCAGCAGCAGAGAACAGGGCTCTGAATTTTCCCAAGAACAACCACAAGTTACTTCAGTCTGCTTCTGGTTCACACTACTTAGAAAGACAATTTACAAGACAAGTTCATTCTACCAGTTAACTGAAAACTAATTCTAATTGTAAACTTTTATGATTTCTAGGTAGGGCGTCTACCTATTTTCCAGATTTTCTCTTAGCAAATGAAATGAATTAGCAAGGCTGTATATTTCAGTGTTTTAGAATTGCGTGTGCACGTGCATGTGCGTGCATGTGCAAGCAGCTACCATTACTCTTTAATCGTGGTTTATTGTAAAGAGAAAAGCATGATACTCAATTTTTAAGTTTATTTGTTCGGAAGTTGTCTCTACACACACATTCACACACTCCGCAAAGACTGGAAGTCAGGAGAACAGAAGCCAAAGGCAGGGCTCTGAAGTTGATTTTTCATTCATTAAGTCAGTCTACCATCACTCAACAGATATTGATTGAACTTCTTATGTACCAGGTACTGGGGATAAAACACTGAATGACAAGGACAAGAATCCCTGCCTTGACCTATGTTCTTGTTGTTGCTTGTTACTGGCGTGTGTGTCCTTAAGCAAGTTCCATAGACTCGGATTCATTAGTCAGTTCAGTGTTGAATCCCAGGCCCTTCGAGAAGCTGACTGTGTCCTCTCCAAGAAGGAGAAGTGGGAGCATTGTCCCGGGTGGCTCATTGTCTAGCAACGCGGAGGGTTCATCCTACCACAGAAGACAGTTGACATATTCAGAAAAAGGGAAATCTTGTGCATATAGCCAAGTGAAATTCATTTTTGTCAGACATCCTGATGAGTGCTAGGGATAGAATGGTAAATAGAACTTGCATCTTGTCCTGAAAGAGCTCAAAAACCAGTTGTAGGGAAAAAAAAAAAAAAACCCACAGAAACAGGCAGCATAATACGATCAGTGCTCTGATGAAGGTATTACAGGATACACCAAAACCAGTGGAAGAAAATTTAAGTCTGACTGAGGGAGTGGAGGGAGCGGTTAGTAAGGTGCTCACAGGAAGAAGGATGCTTGAGAGAGAAGAAAGAGTTTGCTGGGCACACTCATCCTCGCAAGATCGTCTTGGAGGAGAAGCAGTTTGAGGAAGCGTCCGCGCAGTAGATTTGGAATGCAGTGTGGACAAGAGGAGCCACAGTAACGCTAAGCATGTGGGCAGTACGACATCGGCACTTCCGTTCTTTGCGTGGCATGGTGGGAGTCTGGATTTCCCAGTGATGAGCCCTGTGGAGATAGGCTTGATGGAGCAGGCAGAGGGGGAGGGGGATGTCACAACAGTCCTTGAAAGACATCAAGGGCTTTAGGTGAAATGAAGGCACAGCCACAAAGGAGGAAAGTGTATGAGATGTTGTGACGTGTCTAGCAAATTTGATAGTTAGGCCTCTGTGAGAAGTAGGGGAGGAATGTGGGTAGGCTCCCCCTTGGGCACCTGGAAATGGAGTGGAAGCAGGGCCATGCATCAGGCCAAGGAATAAAGCTTTGAGCCAGTAGATGGTGAGTTCCGCTTGGAAAGTATTAAGTTGGAGGTGCCAGCATAACATCATGTCTAAATCCAGAGAGGTGCCGTTAATGGGATGGCCGGTAAGAAATAGAGACTTCAGAGAAATGTCTTTGCATCTGAAATCATTTCCAAGAACATACCCGAATTCATATCAAAGATGAGCAGACTCATCGCAGACAGACCTATTCGACGGCACTCACACACATTGCTCTGGCAAGACGTGATCGGATCGTAACCGTTGACAGTTTCTCGGGGCCCCGGACACCCCACCCCTTTGCTTCTGTGAAACTTGTCTGATGTCCCCTTTAACAGAAGCACTATCTTTTGAGAAAACTGAAATATATAATGAATATGTTCACCGTAAATAGCTATTAAAAGGATCTTCCCTATTTAGCACGAGAAAGAAAGCTTTTGGTGATGTCTTGTTGGTCTGTGAATTCACCAGCACCTGGCAAAGGCCTTGCTATGTGGATGCTTTACAAATGACATAGATTTGACACTTCTGAGGGAAGCTTTCAACCACTCTGAAACACAGATTTGTTGTCTGTATAATAAAAATAAATCTTGATTGGCAGACTTCTGTGCGAGTAAACGGATTATAGGATATGAAAACATTCTGTAAATTGTATAATATGGGATACATAGCTATTTGCAATTCTTAATTATATAATTTTCAGTGCAAGTCTTCATGATTCCAAATGAATCTTTAGAGGGGCGCCTGGGTGGCTCATTCGGTTAAGCGTCTGACTTCAGCTCAGGTCAGGTTCTAGGCCTGTCTGAGTCCCTGTCGGCCTGTGCTGACAGCTCGGAGCCTGGAGCCTGCTTCAGATTCTGTGTCTCCCTCTTTCTCTGCCTCTCCCCTACTCATGCCCTGTCTCTCTCTCTCTCTCTCTCTCCCACCCAAAAAATAAATACACATTTATTTTAAACATTAGAGTAGGACATATTATTTTTACTATTTGAATGTTGAATGCAACCCTAGCTGAAGTTGTTAACAATTTTACAGTTGCATAAATTTATAGTTGCATAAATTTACAGTTGCATAAATTGGGGCCCAGGAAAATTTAAATAAGTTTCCGAAAATTATATTAGAAATGAGAAACAGAGAGAAGGCCAAGACCCAGATTTCCAAACTTCCGGTTCAATGTTTTCCTATAATATCACGATCAAGGAAGACTACTCACATTGTTTTTCCATCTTTTTAATGATTTATGAATTTAGTGTCTAACTAGCCGTATGTGAATTTTAAACTTAAAGTTTAACCAAACAGACTACACGTCTTATGTTCTTTTTTTTTCTAGAGGAACTCTAAAACTTAGATTAAGCATTTATTCTTATTTATTAGAGAAAAATACACAAAAATGAAGCTGGGATAAATGAGATTATAGCTCAGGACACAAGTGGGCCTCGTAGCAAAGCTATGATGACCTATGAGAACTCTCACCATCTCCATGATTGCCTGATTATCTGTGCCGTGAGAAGTTTTGCACAGTTATTTCTGAGACTGAACGTAATTTAACATTTATGATTTACTATTCTCAGCAACAGTAAATATTCCCACCTACCGTGCTAGAAGCCTAATTAAGTGAGCCTTGGTCTCAGCTAAGTGCCCACCACTGGGTAATCGTGGTCTCTTGCCGCCTGACTCAATGAGCTCACTCATCACATCTGAAATTAGCAATGCCAAAAATGGAATTACCAGTGAAGGCGTGCTAGTCATTGCTTCACTGCTCTTTTCTCGTTGCACTTGGAGAATTTCTGGGTAACTGTGTGCGGGCCAACATGAGCCCATACGCCGGGGGAAATGAGGGAGGTGAAAAGCTATTAACACAGTCTCTGTGTTACAGTCAGGGAGCAGTTCCCACCTCCGTCTTAGAAAAGACCAGGTACATACTAACTTGTGCCCCATTCCATTGGCCCTGAATGGAGTTGGCTTGTCTTCCTGGGCTAGAAATAGAAATAAGCCACGACCAACTTTACATAGACAACAGAACCTCTTTAATGCTTTAAAACCAGAAACATTGGGCTCAGCTTCCTACCAACAACTGTTAAGTACTTTGAATGTTTTGAAAAGGAATCATTATATATTTTCTCACCGTTTATAAACAGTTTCATCTCATCTTTGATAGCGTCTTTCCATGAAACGTCTTTACTTTTACTCAAAGTGAAATGCTTGCGTGTGCGTTCTCGTTTGCCATGTGGCTCAGATCATGATAGTGAATGTTTGGGGATGTTAATCACATGTCAGACAGTTTCAAGAGCTCCAATGTTCCATGTCATTGACACATTACAGTGACCCTACGATGAAGGTACTTACTTTATGCTCATATTACAAATCAGGAAATTAAGTCCCAGAGAGGTTAAGTTACTTCCCCAAGGTCACACAGCTAACAAGTGGGAGAACCACAATTCGAAAACTCCAGACTCATGCTGAGATATTCTGCAGCCAGGCATAAAGTCTGTAAAAATTTTTAAATATGCTCTGTGTAGAGTGTGGCAAACAAGCCGCCTTATAGAGGCAATTTGCTGGGGCGCCTGGGTGGCTAAGTCCGTTAAGTGTCCGACTTCAGCTCAGGTGATGATTTTACGGTTCGTGGGTCTGAGCCCCACATCGGGCTCTGTGCTGACAACTTGGAGCCTGGAGCCTGCTTCAGATTCTGTCTCCCTCTCTCTG